AATAAATAAACATTTTTTGAAAAAAAAATATTAAATTACCTGAAATTTTAATACAAAAAAGTAATAAAAAATATCAAAAGCATATTTAAAATTTTTTGCTCATATGTACTTAGTGCAAAGTATAAAAATAATGTAGACCACGTGCTAATTCAATAAGACTGAATTTTTCAGCTTAAAAGTAACATTGAGTCACACTTAGCAACGAGACTGAACTTCCATAAACCAGTTTTGTTCGAACCACTTTTTCAAATACAAACTAGGCTGAGCTGTCTTTTTATTATATAAACATACAAACACATACAATTATGCATGTATGTATGTGTAATAATTCTAAAATTCCATGTGCGCTTATCGCAAAAAAGTACCGATTTCGCGCTAATAAATACGTTTGTGTGTGAAGTGAGGTCGCTTAGCGTCGGCGACGTGCGGCGCTCGCTTACGGTTTTTGTGTCTGTGATGTCATGAGTGTCGCGAATTTCGCTGATATCATTATAAACAGCAATAAATTCAATTTGCGCGTGCCATTTACAGTTTAATTGTTTTTTGAAAGAATATTATTTTACTATCAATGAAGTTGTCGGAATTGCAACTAATCTTAACATTTTTGATTTAATTTAATTACAGCATAATGGGCAAGGATGGTAAAGCTGCTGATCCCCTTGCATTCGTCAAGGATTTCGCTGCGGGCGGTATCTCTGCTGCCGTCTCAAAGACTGCTGTTGCACCCATTGAGCGTGTGAAACTGCTGTTGCAGGTTCAACACATCTCAAAACAAATCAGCCCCGATAAGCAATACAAGGGCATGATTGATTGCTTTGTCCGCATTCCAAAAGAACAAGGTTTTGCGTCATACTGGCGTGGTAACTTGGCCAATGTTATCAGATACTTCCCAACTCAAGCTTTGAACTTCGCCTTCAAGGATGTGTACAAACAGGTGTGTGTTAAATCGAGCTCTAAGTTTGTTGCTATTAATTGAAATTTTTCTGACATTAATTAAAATCTATATTAATTGTCTTTATTGGCAGGTTTTCTTGGGTGGTGTTGACAAGCACACTCAGTTCTGGCGTTATTTCGCGGGTAACTTGGCCTCCGGTGGTGCTGCTGGTGCCACTTCTTTGTGCTTCGTCTACCCCTTGGACTTTGCCCGTACCCGGTAGGTTTTCATATTCAATAATTATGAAAGACAGCAATCCACCAAAAGTGAAATCCGCTTAAATTCCTCAAAAAAGTAATTTATGATATTAATTTTTCGTGGATGACTGTAGTTATGAAGCATAACAGCTTTTGAGTTTTTTTTAATACTTTTATAATAATTCATGAATTCGCTTATTCCTCTTCTCCACACAGTTTGGCTGCTGATGTCGGTAAGGGTGGTCAACGTGAATTCACCGGTCTTGGTAACTGCTTGGCCAAGACTTTCAAGAGTGACGGTCTTGTTGGTTTGTACCGTGGCTTCGGTGTCTCCGTACAAGGTATCATCATTTACCGTGCCGCTTACTTTGGCTTCTACGATACTGCCCGCGGTATGTTGCCCGACCCCAAGAACACACCCATCTACATCAGCTGGGCTATTGCTCAAGTTGTTACAACTGTTGCTGGTATTGTATCCTATCCATTCGATACTGTGCGTCGTCGCATGATGATGCAGTCTGGCCGCAAAGCAACCGAAATCATCTACAAGAACACACTGCACTGCTGGGCCACAATTGCCAAGCAAGAAGGTACTGGCGCCTTCTTCAAGGGTGCCTTCTCCAACGTACTCAGAGGTACTGGTGGCGCTTTCGTGCTTGTATTGTACGATGAAATCAAGAAGGTCTTGTAAAGTAATTAACACCTACTATCTAATTGAGCTAAAACAATTATTTAATTTAAATATTAAAATAATAAAAACAAAAAATTAAAAAAATACCAACAAAAAACAGCTACCATACATTATTGAAATAAGCGATATAAATAAATAAATGTAAAACAAATAGGTTGCAAATTGTAACAATACGAAGATAGAGCGAAAAATTACCAACAGTAATTCAACAACAACAACACTGATGAATCATTAGTAAATGTTCAATCACAAACAAATACGGAAAAGTTAAAAATACAAAAATTAATAAAAATTGTAAAATGATTTTTTTCTAGTATAGTGCTAGTTAAGTACAGATATCCAGGACCTGTTCCGGCGTGCGTGGCGATTAAATTCGATGAAAAGTTTTCATTTTAAAATGATTGGTCCAGTTATCACTCTATCCCCGAAGTAGGGTCTTTAGATTGTTACTCCACCCACATTACGCAAACCCATCATTACACCAACAACAAACGTGGCCTAACATCTCAATAATATTAAACTCAATTGAACTTTCGAAGCTCTCAGGATTATACCCTTTTTCCTTAGCGTACACCATAACGTAGATAACAACAACAATCGATATCCTCAATCCCTTCCCGTTTATTGACAATTACCGTAAGACTACATAACTAAATTTTAAGAGTCGGTGGCTTGCTTTAATTTCTATCGTTTAAATGAGTTTTATCGATTTCTTAATTTGAATATTTTTCAAATCTATGTCGTTTTCTAAAAGTTTTTCGTAAATTTGACACATTTGATTGAATTGTTCTCATTGTTCATTGTATAATTGTTAAATTCTAAATATTTAAAAATCATACTTTTGAATTGGCTACTAAATAAAACTAGCACAATGAGTGAAGGAGAAATAAAGAAAGATTTGTCAGATCCTATTGGGTTCCTTAAGGATTTCATGGCTGGTGGCATATCCGCAGCTATAGCAAAAACTGCAATGGCGCCGATAGAACGCGTTAAATTGCTTTTGCAAGTACAAGCCATATCAAAGCAGATCTCTGCCGACAAGCAATATAAAGGAATGATTGATTGTTTTGTAAGAATACCCCGTGAGCAAGGCTTTTTATCATTTTGGCGAGGAAATCTAGCCAACGTCATAAGATATTTTCCTACCCAGGCATTGAATTTTGCCTTTAAAGATAAATATAAACAGGTATGATAACATCCAAAAAAAACCAATTTTAAATTAATAGCATTATGAAAATTGTGAAGATATTCCTCAGTGGCATAAACAAAAAAGAACAAAAGGGACGTTACTTCTTAGGCAACATACTATCCGGTGGTGCAGCTGGTGCTACGTCTCTCTTATTTGTATACCCTTTGGATTTTGCACGTACTCGGTAGGTAAAATTCCTGCTTTTCTATGTGTACCCTAATAAACTATTGTGTAGATCATCGAAAATTTGAAGATATAGTTGTTATTAATTTAGCAGTAGAATTTATTTGATGTCGGCGCTCAGTTACATGCATAATTTACAATTTTCCATAACAGCTTGGCTGCTGACGTTGGAAAGACCGGACAACGCGAATTCAATGGACTCTTTGATTGTATAAAGAAGATATTCAAAACTGATGGATTTATGGGATTGTACAGAGGTTTTGTTGTTTCTGTACAAGGCATTATAATGTATCGTGGGGCTTATTTCGGTTGTTATGATACGGCTCGTGAGCTAATGCCAGATCCGAAAAATTCACCTATATGGGTAAATTTTTTAATTGCGGAAGCTGTAACCACCTTTGCAGGCATAGTTTCTTACCCATTTGATACTGTGCGCCGTCGTATGATGATGCAATCAGGCGTAAAGGCTGGCGAACGAGTTTACAAAAACACTGCCCATTGTTGGTTAGTGATTGCTCGCACAGAAGGGCCTTTTGCTTTCTTTAAAGGAGCGTTTTCAAATGTTCTACGTGGAACTGGTGGGGCACTTGTATTGGTGATGTATGATGAGATTAAGAAGCTAATGAATTAACATTTTAAACTTTTATAAATTAACTAAGAGATTAGACCTTACTACTTGAATAATAGTTTCTCATTTTTAGGAATTAAATCTGACTGCTACTTCTTGAACATGATTTAATTATTATTTAAGTTTTGAAGTCGCGTTTGTGATCAGTCTATTACAAAATGTAATTTCATATTCTAAATGAAAACCTGTCTTTTCACATTAAAATATTTTCTTTTATACTAAATCAAATGTTTTTTTTTTATATTGTTATAAAAAAAAACGAAAGTCTTGAAATAAACCGGATTTAAATGTTTAAGAAATCGATAACTATTTGAAAGAATTGAAGTCTCCAATGTTTATCGAAATTATAATTCTCAACTAATTGACAGTTGTTCACCTGCGAAACAGCGGATAGATAAGTCTATGGAATTTCGGTTCGGTTATAAAATTTTTCCACAAAATTAAATAAATTTCAATTGAATTGTAAAAAAATTGTTGCAAATATGTTGGCTAGACACTCTTTAAAACTACCACGATTGACAAACATGTGTGCATCTTTCTGTACTGCGACAGCGGAAGCCGCGGTGGAGCCTCTTTATAATCGCCCTAAACTTGCCCCAACTGATTACCGCACAGGCGAGACAAACACCGACTTGCATTCTAAAGTGCATGAAGCCAAGTTCTACACAATTGCACCAGAAATTAAGAAACAACTGTTTAGCGGTGGTGGACTTCCACGACAGTACGAGCAACAAGTGAAAACATTTACCGAAACTTGTCTCATGGTACGACCGGCTGGTTTAGAGTTAATAAATTACATCCGTAATACGGATTTCAAACGACCAGCGATACGATACGTATTATACGGCGACAATGGTGTTGGCAAAACGTTAATTATGGCTCATGCATTGCACTATGGGTTACAAAACAATTTTGTGCTTGTACATGTACCATGGGTACCCAATTGGATGAAGCGTCCAAAAGAAACTGCAAATGCTGCACAAGAAGGATTTATCGATTTACCTTTCGATGCGGCAGCGTGGTTAGTGCACTTTAAAACTCAAAACACAAATCTACTTACCAAACTACAATTGAAAACAAGTAAGGATTACATCTGGAGTAAAAGAGAAGCAACTCCAGCTGGTTCTACATTGTTGGAATTGGTGGAGCACGGTATTGCGCGTATTAAATTCGCCTCCGAAACAATTGCTGCTTTATTATCCGAACTGAAGCAACATGCTAGTGAAGATAAATGTAAAGTTATGGTTGCTATTGATGGTTTTAATGCATTTTTCCACCCAGAGACACGAGTGTTTGGGGATCATAAACAACGTATAACGCCTGATCGTATTACACTAACACAACCGTTCCTCGATATTACTAATTACAATTGGACTAATGGTGTCTGTATATTAACAGTGGATAAAATAGGAATGACCGAAGGTTATATGGAGTCGTACATGCCACGTTATTTACTCGGTAAGGAAGGATTCGAACATTTAGATCCATTTGTGCCAGTACGTGTGGATAACTACAGCGATAAAGAGTTCGCGAGTTGTGTACAATACTATTTAGATCGAAATTGGATTCAGAAAACACCGGAAGGCTTTGACGAACAACTTAAGTACCTTAGCAACAAAAACCCTTATACATTAATGCAATTAACACGTTCGTTGTAAGTGAATGCACAACTTCGTAAACTGAAAAACCAAATATTGTTCACACTTTTAAAAATAAAATTAAAAATAATTATCGAAATGATCAAATCTTTTATATAAGACTCATAAATATGCAATTATAGTAATTAATTGTTGTAAACCAATTCACTTCGTTGAAATAGTGGGTATTTATTGATTAAACATGTACGCTCTTCATTAAGAAAATCATTCTACATTTATAAATGTAATTCTCGATATCATGTCATCAGGAGGTAATTAACTATCGTGTTTTCGTGTTTTTACTAATATTTTAGGCAAATATTTTATCTTTTTTAGCGTTAAACCGGCTTTTCGAACATAATAAAACATCAATCTAGATCATAAACAAGCAAGGAATTTTTAAGTTGAACACTATAGTGTCAAATGCGAATAATTGCTGCCAACATGCATATACATTGGCTGAAATTTTAACAAAGTTCACTGCAGATGGTGATGAGTAGATTGTATTCGAGGCGTTTCTACGAATTGCTAATTGTTTTCATCTAAACGCAAATAATAACGCCGTTCCCATATTTGCTAGGCTTCGATCTTAATTGGCGGACGCAAACGCGGCCAGTCGACAAACTCCACACCATAATGTAATATGCCAGTTGTGCCCACTCCAACAATTGTGCCCCAGAATAGAAGGAAAAGCAAGCTTTCGGTATTAAATTCTGCCGGAAAGATGGCGGTAATGAAGAGCATTGCCACGGCGAACAGCAAAACGGAAGGTATCTGAAAATGAAAAAAAAAAATTTTTTAATCGTAAAATTTTACTTTACCAATCAGAAGTTTACCGTGTTGTAGCGCCAAGTGCGTGTAACTACTAACGGTGACGGCAGTAAATTGCCTTCGTCCGGTTTAACCACATACTTGCCCAGAAATAGATCAAAACCATCCTATAAAGTCATATAATACTGAAAATATTGTAAGTTTAATCAAACGCGAACTCATGCACCTGTCTACTTCCATCAGCAAAATTATTAAGATAGTAACGAGTTGCTGAATTAACACCATCCTGCATAAGACCAGCTTTTGTACGTTTTCCTGTGCGTGTGAAATCGGTTTTCAAAGCACCAGTACCGGAATATTGCAGTGAAATCACATCCGCATTATCCGCCCAAACCTGAATGCATACAAACGAGTAAGTTAATGTTTATTTGGTATATGAGTATTCAACTTACCCCCTTGAAAATATACTCGAAATTCGGCGAAGCTCGTTCTACAACTTGGCCGGCTTGCAAAATGCCCAGCTTTTGTAGGACCGTATTTAGTGAACGCTTGGCTAGCATACTTTGCACAACATTAGTGCGATCCAAGCAATCAACACAATTTGTGCGAAAGACGCCATCTTGCGCTGATACCAAACCGCCATCTTCGCGCAAATGAAATACTGAGAACTCATCCTGCTCGTGGGCCACGCGATCAATCAGAATCTGCAAGCGATCCCAACGCATTTTCTTGCATTCGGCGTGAAAGTCGAACGCTTCATAGCGTACATTGGGATTATTAATTTGTTGAACAAATGTGCGGAATGCGCGTTCCAAATTGCCCTCGGCGCGTTTTTGGTCCACCTATAGTTTATAAGGAATTATTTCCTTATAAAATAATTCTGCACTTATTCATAAATGTACAAATTACCAGGTTTAGAACTATTTGACGTCCGTAAAGCATCACCTGTGTTTCGAAATGTTTCAAGCATGCCGCCAAGTGATCCTTACCCGGCACCAGTTCCGGATCTGGTTTATACCTTAGGTTTGGTAATTGTCGCCAAAAGAAGGGCATACTGCCTCGCGTCTGTTGCAAATAGAAAAAATACTTTGTATAATTATATACCATTATAAAACAATTGTCGGAAATCACCTGCACAAAGGATATGCGTTGTCCATTGTACTCGACAATTTGTTCCGTTTCCACAAAATTGGCTACATTACCCGTCTCGTCAATGCCACGCGCGAAGAAACGTGTGCCGGCGCGGTGTATAGAGCGGCGTGATATAATGGACCAAAAGAACGTTTGACCATTTACTTGCACTTGATTTATGGAAGCAACTGAAAGAAAAAAGTTGTCTTAATAAAACTCGACTTGAAAATTTATTAAATAAGTTAAGATTCGTACAGCCTAATACGATTGGTAAGGCGAATTTGCGCATTTCCGGACAATTAAAGTTGCGCAATAAGGCGCCATTCCAAACGAAGCGCTCGTCGGCACGCTCGAACAAACCGTTCTAGGGAGTGTATAAAACGATTAGATGAGTACATTGAAAAGTATTAAATTCAAAATCAAAATATGTACCTTCATGAAGTCCGGCGGCATGCCGTGCAGGCGCTGTAGCGAGTGTGTCAAATCGTACCAATAGGAAAAGTAGAAGAAACGCGTGTCCAGTGTTTGCCGCAACATGTTAAGATATGTCTCATTTTGTTCGCGTTGTTTGGGGCGCAAATGAGTTATAGTTGGAATGTAGGGTATAATATCGTAACCTGCCAAACGCCATATAATGGCGCCGTTTAGCATGCCCACATAAAGGCGATGAGTGGCAACAATTAGGTAATGGCCACCTAGTATTTGAATGGTGCCAAGTATGCCACATACACGCCTTGTGGGCACTTGGTTGTTTAGTTGATTGCCTTTGCCTACAATAACATTGTTAAAATGTATACCATTTGTGGATAATTTCCAAATGCCTCAATTGCGTTTACTTACTTTGAACACGTACTGTATTCACAACGCGATCAATTACCAGCAGCTCATCTTTGCCATTGGGTTCCACAACGAAACGTTCCGGCGTTATGTACCTGTGTTGTATTGTAAAGTAGTTATAAATCGATAAAATCAATCTTTAAGCAGTCATATTCGTGTCAAAAGCTTTGCTGCCACATATATGCGGTGGACAGCTGCAAGGCTAATCCATTAATAATGTAATTTCAAGTGCAGATTAAGTGTGCCCTACACAAAATCACACTCAGCCACCCACCCTACTTTAAGCTACATACAAGCTAACCCACACAGCCCACAGCCCACTGAACACATTAACTTCTTCCGTTATCAACTTACAAATTCATGTCATCGTGTATATCCCAACTGGTATCCATTTTGTTGTACCAATCTTTGTGAAATGCGCGAAATTGAACTAAAAATTAGTTTAAAAATAAAAAACTTTTAGTCCGCTACTTTATCAATATTGCTAATCACTCCCTGGCAACGAAATCAACAACACTACGGGCGTTGTTTATTTTGGTTGCAAGTGGCCGCACAAATTTTACTTTATTGTCGTTAGTTCCTTCGTTGTTTATCTGTTAATTTGAAGCCATTTATTCTATTTTTTTTTTAGTTTTATTACTGTAACTAAATTATTAATTTAGAATCGTGGACAAATTGATTGCCAACAAAACTTTGCAAATTTTGACACTAATCAGCTGTAATATTAAATTCTGCACAGGGTTACATTG